TGTGCCAGGGAGCTCATGGCTTCCCAGCTCTCTCCGGGTTCTGTTCTTCTGACCAAACTGGATCTGAGAACTAGAAACTAGGAATTCCATCTATCCTTGCTTGGGTCTCCTGAGCCAGAACCTGACGGTGAGCTGCCAGCAAAACCTATGTCTCTAAGTGGCAGCATCCCTGAGAGAGAGAACAGGCTGAGTCAGCCAGCAGGACTACTTCTGTCACATGGTATTTACAGAGGTGCCTGGTCACGGAGATTCAGCACCCATGTCACCTTCACAGCTAATAACAAGCCAGCTGGGCAGTGGCTGTTCATATATTAACTTCCATCATTTTAGTCAAAGGCTCAGAAAGGCTAACCTTTCTGATATGTGTAACACTGATGCACGAAGTAGACAGTCTTTAGAATATAAATTGTCGGGCAGTTGGGCAGTGGCTTTGAAATACAGCAGTTGTCACCCATTGCCCCATTGCCTTAAGTTCCATCTCAACTCAGTGTTTTAAAGTAACTCAGGCAAATCAAGGTATTGATAGTGTGAGAGTGAAGGCTTGCTTGATTTCAGTGTGAGATGGGTACCAAGGCCTTCTGCATTCCTGGCTCTTACCCTTGACTCTGTTGTGTCATAAGTGCAAGTCATTAAAAATAACCAAATGCAGCTGGGCTTGGCGGCACATGCCTTTAATCCCAACAGTTGGGTGGCAGAGGTAGGGCTCTCACTGTGTAGCTCTGGCTGGCCTGGTATTCACTACGTAGACTAGGCTAGCTTCCACCTGTCTGACTCCCTAGTCCTGAGATTAAAGGTATGTACCACCATGCTCTGCTCTTACCACTGTCTTCTGACAAGGGTCTCCTGTAGTTGCTTTTCTGAGAGTACTAAGAAAAGAGAGCCCCGGAGTGCCACCACAGGCTAACCACATATACCCGCAAATGGACAGTCAGTGGAAAAATGTCTCAGTACAAAGGGCGGTAGTGGTTATTGTGAAAGGTATATATGTCATGACAACATGCTTGAGGTGGCAGAGAGTAATGTACTGAAGGTGGGCTGCCCATCCGCCTGCCTTCCTGGCACTCCTGCTCACTCTTCCCATAAGCCCTTTAAACACATACACACTTGGCATAAACGCTATTACCTGATTTGCTTCCAGAAACCCCAGGCGGCTTCTTGAGGTCCGACTTCAGCTTAGATGCTAGGATGAACCTCCTAAACCACTCCTCTTTCTCTCGGCCGGTTCTCCCAAACAGATACAATATCAGGTCTCTCTGGCTAGATTTCGTCCCCTCTTGAGGCTGGGTTGGCTTCTTAAGGTCTTCACTTGCCAGCTCTTTCTCAGCAGGTGGCTTCTCCTCACAAGTGTCCCTATCCGTCTGAGCCTTGGACATAAAGTCATCTTGCTGACCAAGCTCAATGCATATGGGGTATTTTTTATTCCAGATTCGTTTGCGAGCCAGACTTTTAGGTACAAGATAAATCTATGGAGAAAGGCAAATGATAATTTACATACTAAACACTGTCCACCCTGTGCTGAATCAGTGTTATACGTATGAGAAAGGTTAGCTTTTCTGAGCCTTTGACTAAAACCATGGACGTTATATAACTCTCACCACTTGTCTGTAACCTGACTGTAGAACACAGAATAAATTTTTAGAAATGACTTGTTATTTCTCAAAATTCCAAAGTATATATATTTAAGAACTACACAAGAGCTATAAATATCTTTCATTCTTAGGCAGCAGTAGCAGAGTAGTACATTACTCTGATTATTATCAAAAGGCTTGGCTATCAACTGGGTTAATGGCCCTTGGTGACTCTTAAGATGGGGGCGGGGTTATCTCTCAGTCTAGACAGGAAGTGCAGGTCCATGCTGGGAATCAATTTAAGGATAAATCTATATAGAAACTACTTTACACACTTCCATTACTGTGGAGGAACTTAAAGACCACTCACACTAGCTAGAAGAACAGAGAACATATGTCTGTGTATAATAAATGTATATTTGACCGACCGACCCACGAATGACAGCCCTCATCGAGTGGCTGATGGAAGCAGAGACAGACATCCACAGATATACACTGAGCTGAAATCTGGAATTTAGTTGAAGAGAGGGAGGAATGAAGAGTGAAGGGGTCTGTACCAGGTTGGAGAAACCCACAGGAACAGTTGGCCTGAACAAGGGAGAGCACATCGACCCCAGATGCTGTCGGAGAGGCCAGTACAAGACTGATCCAGACCCCTGAACGTGGATGTCAATAAGGAGGCCTCTGCACTCCAGGGAGCCTCTGGTAGTGGATTAGTATTTTTCCCTGGTGCAAGAAGGGACTTTGAGAGCCCATCCCAAGTGAAGGGTTACACTCTGGCCCTGGACACATGGGGAAGGGCCCAGGCCCAGTACAGGAAGGTAAACAAGCTTGTTCCCTAACTTGAACTAATAAATAAATAAATAAATAAAATGTGCATTTTCCACAAAAAATATAAATACCTTATCAAAGTGGTGGTGGTGCACACCTTTAATCCCAGCACTTGGGAGGCAGAGGCAGGTGGATCCCTGTGAGGTTGAGGCCAGCCTGGTCTACAGAGCGAGTGCCAGGACAGGCTCCAAAGCTACACAGAGAAACCCTGTCTCAAAAACAAACAAACAAAAGCAAAAAGAAATACCTTATCAAATGTTCTGGCATGTGCACAATTTTTACATTTTACAGAGCCTGTATCAATACATGGCACCACAACACATCACTCTTAGACTAAAAATCCAGTTTTTTGTTCTGTTTTGTTTTGTTTTTAGGGTGTGTGTGGTGGTAGCAGGTTGAGATTGGATTCCATGACATAGTCCAGTTCAACCTGGCCTCAAACTATGTAGCCTAGGCTACATCATGGGGATCCTCCTGCTTTGGCCCCCTGAGAGTACAGGTTTGTGCCAGCATGCCTGGAACATGTGGCTCTGGGGATGAAACTCCCGGCTTTGTGTATGTATAGGCACTTTACCATCTGGAATGCATCCCTGGCTCCATAACCAGCTTTTAAAGTCAAAATGCTGAGTACAGAGAGCCCTTGCTCCTGGAGATGTGGTCCACGGAGCTGCAACACAAGCTCCATGTTGGAGGCTCACAGAAATCCAGGCTGTTGGCCCACATTTCAAAGGCTGCCCAGTGATTCATAGTTACTGTGTGAGATGCTGTCCTATAGTACACCACTCCTTAAATGGCAACATCATGGGGTTGGGTGCGGTATAGCAACGAAGACTCCAAATGCTTCTCATTCATCCAAGCTCTGATTCCAAAATTACCCAGACTCACCTTGCTGTCAGAGAGGTCATAGATTTTCTGGCTGATGTAGGTGACATCTGGCTTTGTTTCATTGTAGCTTGCCCTCCTGGATATGTTTTTGTTGGGTTTTGAAAGTCTTAAGGTTCCACCCTCCAGCCGGACAAAGACTGAGTGTGTCAAAGTCGCATGGTAAGTTTCTGGATCATAGTTGTAAATCTCATTCATCCATCCCTGTTGGAAAAACACCTTTATGAGTAAAAGTGAACAGTGTGCAAATAGCGAGTGTCCTGGACATCAGGACTGAAACTCACCATTTGCAGTGATAACTTCCCAGTGCCAAGTGCTGAAGAGTAATTTGGTATGGTTTTTTTGTTTTGTTTTGTTTTTGTTTTTTTGAGACAGGGTTTCTCTGTGGCTTTGGAGGCTGTCCTGGAACTAGCTCTTGTAGACCAGGCTGGTCTCGAATTCACAGAGATCCGCCTGCCTCTGCCTCCCGAGTGCTGGGATTAAAGGCGTGCGCCACCAATGGCCGGCTGTGGTATGGTTTTGATATCCAAAAATTTGGGGAGGTAGAACAGTAATATCTACTATCCTAAACATATGATTCTTTTCTGAAAGTCACCAAGCAAAATGAGAAATTCAAGTTTTACGTAAATCATGAACAAGGCTCTCTGCCTAATCTCCCTTGGGAATGAGCACTGATCTGGCCTAGCGGCTTTCTGTTTGTGACAATGTAGCTCAGGCTAGCCTGGAACTTGTGATCCTCCTACCTTCACAATCTGAGGGCTGTGATTACTGGTGTGGGTCACCATGCCTGGCTCCCAGCCTGGTGCTGTCTCTAGATTATATTCATTGGTTTGTCTATTTGTTACATGTGTGTGTTTGTTACACAGGGCACCCCAGAACCCCCTCCATCTGTCTGTCCATCATCACAGAGTGCACCGACACACATCAAGCTAAATACTAGGGCTGCTGACAAAGATTTTTTTTTTAGACTTATTTATTTTTTTGTGTGTGAATGTTTTGCCTGCATGCAAACATGTGCACCACTTTCATGTCTGGGGGCACAAAAATGGTCGTGAACCCCCATGTGGGTACTGGGAACCCAACCAGGTCCTTCATAAAAACAAGTGCTCTTAACCACTAAGCCATGTTTCCAGCTCCAGCAGTCAATACAAAGATTTTAAAGGAGTCCTAGTGTCTGGGAGGCAGTGGGAGAGCACTTGTCTTGCACGTGGTTCTGGATTCTACACCAGCACCTAGGAAAAAGTTAGGAACTAAAAAAGAAAAAGGATCGGATTCTTGATCAAAAAATATCCACCAAAGAGTGGAGAATTGGGTCTTTCTCCCATTAGCCTACTAGAATAAGAATAAGAGACACCATCACGAAAAGGCAGCCCCAGTACAAGGCACCAAACACACTTATCTACGTGTGTGTGTGTGTGGGGGGTAACACTTATGAACCAGTTACACTGATTCACATGACTCACGGGACATGTTCTGCATGAGTTGGGAGGATTTCATTCTCCTCTCTGAGTTACTGACCATGAGCAGCATTTACTCAAGCATTGTTTTCGCAAGCAGGGCTCATGGGAAGGGGGCAGTCTAGCATCTGAAAATGAACCAGCAATGCCCCGAGGGGGACAGGCAATCCCAACACAGAAGGACAGAAGCAGATCGGCTGTCAGAGCATCAGCTAAGGTGGAAACAAGTGTACCAAGTGTAAACCGTTCTTAAATTACACTGTTTGGACACCATGATGAAAGCATAGCCCAGCAGACTTGACCCCTGATGAACAATGACTAGAGGTCTTTCCCCCCTATCTGATGTATCTGGCTGCAATGGTTTACCACAAACTCCTGACAAGAACTGTCTTCCTTGAGTATCAGTGGGAGGAGTACTAGGTGGGATCTGGGCGCTTGTGACTGAGGCCAAGGCTTAATGTCAAGGTTTCACGTGCTCTGCCACTGGTTTACTCCTCCCAGAAGGACCATTTTTATTGTCCTCAACACACACAAGTATAGTTTCCTAGGTATGGAGGTTGCAACCAACTAATCTCAGCACTCAGGCCTCTGGAGGCCAGAGAAGTGCTTGAGTTGAAAGTCCATCTAGACTACAGTTTAGAACTCAATACCCAAAAAAACAGTGTAAAAATACTGAATTGGTAAAGAAATGACAAACAATTTCTAGGCTAATGAAAATGTCTTGTGTCCTCAAATAAGAGTCTGAATTTCAAGGGCTCCTGTGGCAGCAGTGGACACAAAATGCACCTTATTGCTTCAAAGGTGGCTGGACGGGGATTCTGGGATAGAGGATTAGGCATCAAATTATTTTACCATCATAAAAATTAATTTACCATTAAAATAAATTCTTAAACAGCAAAAAAAAAAAAACCCAAATATTACAAGGTTTTGTCTTTTCCTTTCTTGGTAGTGTCGGGGTGGGTGGGTGTGCACGTGTGATTAGGAGGTATTCCTCAGCTACTTCACCTTAGTTTTGGAGACAGGGTAGGGTCTCTCACTGGGCCTGGAATCTGTTGTTCAGCTAGAACAGCTGTCCAGAGAGCCCAGGGATCTGCCTGTCTCTGGCCCCAGGACTGAGTTACATACATGCACTTCCATGTCTAGCACTGTTTTACATGGTGCTAGAAACACGGGTCCTAATGCTTGCGCTACAAGTATTCTACTTTCTGAGCTATCTCCCCACCCCATTCCCCTTTTTAAAACATGGGGTCGCACTGTGCTGGTTAGACTGGTGCCAAACTTGCAGAGATTCTCTTCCTTCTGCCTCTAGAGTATTGGCATTACTGGCATGTGCTACCATGCCAAACGTCTTTTTCTTTAGTTTGTTATTGTGCTCAATTACACCCATTGTTCTAATGGATGCTGACTAAATGTTGACTCCATCCATCTTGCATTGTTGGGATTAATGACAACACTGGTCATTATTTGCTGAAACTGAATCACCTCAGTTCCTGAGAGCCAGTGTCTACACATTTCCAACCCCATATTCAGTGACTTCATCCTGGGAGCCTGAACCTGGTCATGGGGAATTTTTACATGAGAGAAACCAGGGAACAGTGCAAATCAAGGATCTGTACCCCCTCCTGCCAGCCACTTTTCTCCATCCCGTCCGTGTTGTGTGTGTGTGTGTGTGTGTGTGTGTGTGTGTGTGTGTGTGTAGTCCCGAGTGCTGGGACTAAAGGCGTGCGCCGCTACCACCACCTGGCACACTTGGGAAATTTTTTAAGATACTTTTCTGTTACTGACTTACAGTATAATTAACATTATGTTCCAAAAAAATTAACATTATGGTCAGAGAACATTCTCTCTATAATTTCTCCTTTGTTAATGAGCCAAAATATGTCTCACCCCTTTCATTTGAAGTACTTTTTGATGACATCCTTGACCTGAGATTCTTTAATGTAGTTCATAGCCACTACACAACTGCAACCAACCACTTTTTGGGGTTTCCCTTCTCCATTCCCCTAGTTTCCTGCTGTCACCAATCCTAACTAGGTTGACTTGGTGCTAAGTGCAAAGGCTTCTACCAACTTCACCTATACATGTTTATCACATTAGATGCAAACACAAAGTTGGGCTTGGTGTTTGTTTAAGGCCGTGGCAGCTTTGTGAATTCCATGTGCTCAGGCATCATGGATGAGTGTGGTCTTCAAGACCTCTTTTAAAGCTCCAGCAGCAATGTCTTGCTTAGCCATGACAGTGGTTACAGGTAAAGCTGAATGCTGGGACACACACTAGCACAGCTTGAAACTCAGGGCAGGGGGCAAGTAATTTCTTTCTTTTCTATTTTTTTCGGGGGGTGGAGGGTTTGAGACAAGGTTTATTTGTGTAACCCTGGCTGCCCTGGAACTCGCTCTATAGACCAGGATGCTCTCAACCTCACACATCTGCCTGTTTCTGCCTCCCAAGTGCTGGAATCAAAGGCATGTGTCATCATGACCAGCAACAGCATAACCAGTTTTTAAACACTTGTTAGGTTTTATGTGCCAGGATCTTTCTATTTCAGTGACAGGCTTCTTCTTTCTTTAGTTTCTTGAGACAGGGTTCTTATTCTGTATACCAGGCTGGCCTCGAACTCAAGATCATCCAATCTCAACTTCTCTAGTGCTGGGAATAACCGGGCATTTACAGACATGCACGATCAGGTTCTGAGATTAGAGCCACACACAGCTGTGCTCAGATTACTGACAACAGTTCTATGTGCTCTTAAAAATACAGGCAGTGGCTGACATTGAGTAGAGTTTTCTCCAAACGTATTCCTCTCTTCAAACACAAACTTATCTATGGAGAAACCTCTAGCAGGTTTTTAGCTTATTTCCTTGTTTTTCAGGTTAGGAAAATCTGATGATAGACCATGGTGTGAGGGCTGGGCCCAGCGCTGCCTGTGTTCATAGGTCAGTCATGCTGCCTGTGCCCGCTACCCAGCTGCAGATCAATTCTGTTCCTAGGTCAATTCTTGTAACTGGTGAACAAAAGCAACCTTCCCCACCATGCTTCCAGAGCTGGTCTGTCACAGAGCAGGCTCAGGAACCTGAAGAGCAGGCCCCTCCATCTCTGGCTTCACTCTGCAGGAAGCAGTTCAGCCATGAGGAAGCAGTTAGCCTCTGCTGACAGCTCTGACAGACACAGGTCACTCTCTTTGCTCGCCAAATACTGGGACAACCTGATTCAGAGGAGGGTGAAGGAAGGGAGTTGGGGCCCTCAGTATGTAGATCAAAACCATGGAAACCTTACCTGCGAGGTAAGGAGAGCCCAGGCAATGCCTCAACCCTGGTGCCCCCCACCTGCTTCAATGTCCGTCCAGTGTGACCCAGGCCAGTGCTCCTCCCACCTCAGATGCCCAGCTGCTGTGGTTTCTTTTTTTCCTTTTCTTTCATCTTCAGATTTCCTCCTTCTTGAGATGTCATGTTCCTTTAATTCTGCTCACCACATCTAGATGAGGCTAAAGTCCATGGTGCCAAACACAAACACACACCACCCAAGATCAGGATTCGGACTGCCATGTACTGTGAATAATCACTTGTTAGCTTTAGAGACCCTATCATGCTCATATTTGATTTGGTGAAAGCCTGCTGATAAACACCCTGTCCACCCACACAGTGCTGGAACAGCTCAGGTTCCAACCCCGCCTCCAGCACCTGCTGCGCAGTCCTCAGAGCCTGCCCTTCCATCCTGTAAGGGGGCTCAGCCTACCTCTTCCCCTTCCTCAGCCCAAGTCATGCTACATGCAAACACAACACTTCTCCGTGCTTTGGGGAGCAGAATTCACACAATAAAAAAGAACAAGCCTCAAGCACAGTTTTGAAAACACCAATAAACATTCACAGTAGCACCTGGTATCTAGGTATCCCAGACACCCCACGTGTCTCTTGTGCATGTGTTGCCCTTTGCCAATTCCCTACAACCACAAAAGCAAGAAAGCCCACAATGGTAAATGACCTGCCTCTTGATGGAGACAGGGACAGCTGGGACCTGGCCCCAGGTCTGTCTGACTGAAGTGTGGCCTCCCATCATGGCCCCATGGCATGGCCTGACAGTCTGGGCAGTGCCTTGTCACCCTTCAGGTCACAGCAGAGATGACATCTTTCCCAGGAAGCTGCCCTTCTCTGATGCTCTTCTGTCCTCACTGGCCCTGTTAATTGATTGCTTTAATTAACTGAGCTGCAAACTCCACAGAACAAGGAGAGCAAGGCATACCTCAGTACTAGCTAAGGCCTCTTGACGGACCCTATGAACGAAGCCGATTCAAAAAATAGCTACAAGGATTAAACGGAATTCTCGGAACTCACAAGTAGAAGGGCTGGAGTCTCCCCTCCCATGCCAGCCCTAAAGTACTGTGTCCTCTGCATTCCTGTCCTCAAGGCTTGGGGGGGTGGGGTGGAGGGGACAGGGATGAGTGACACAGTGGACCTGCATAAGGCTCCATGGAATAAGAAAATAAGGAGCCAGGCTGGGCGTTGGTGTCGCACGCCTTTAATCCCAGCACTCGGGAGGAAGAGGCAGGCGGATCTCTGTGAGTTCGAGACCAGCCTGGTCTACAAGAGCTAGTTCCAGGACAGCCTCCAAAGCCACAGAGAAACCCTGTCTTGAAAAACCAAAAAGAAAAGAAAATAAGGAGCCAGAGAGAGGAACTGCTGAGAATCCACAGCAGACAAGCAATCTGGGGGTGTACCGGCCTTGCTCAGGTCAAGATGCCACCAGACTCAACTCTGCTCTGACACACGCCCCCCAGAGTCTGCCCCTAAGATACCCCAACACTTCAAACCAGATCTCCTTTGCAAAACGCAATTTCCTAACACAAACCTAATCACCTTTTCCTATCATCAGCCAGCCAAAATGCTCCCGGGACTTGACTAACTCCCAGGATTAGGCTGTACTCGAAATTTGTAGACTGGAACAGTCAGATATACAACCTTGAGAGCCGCACAGGAACCCCCAAACCCCACACAAATCCACTGACCCCTGCTCACCTGTTCTAACATTCCTAAGCTAAATTACCAAGTGAGGTATTTCTCCAGCTTCTTTGGTTATGTGTGGCATGGGAGGGGCATGAAGAGCTGGGACTTACAGCTTTACCTCACTCAGAGCTGCCATCTCTCCACTCACTGCTGAGATGTCAGACAAGCCTCGTTTCTTTCTGGACCCTTCTAATGGAGCCAGCGCATGCCGCTGGAACAACGACCCAGTCAGCAGGCTGCAGCTGTCTGGCCTGCAGTCTGGTCCTGTGACAGCATTTAGAAAAGGTCAGGGGTTTCTCTTCAATTCTCTGCTGGACTCGGAAGCCACGTTTGGCTGGCAGTGTAAACCACAAT